AGCAGGAATAGATTCGCTCGATGAAGTTTAAATGGGTCCTTTCAAGCAGTGTCCCTTAGTTCAAAAGTGCCCTCAGACAACACACCTGACCAGTAATTCTCCTTAATTTTCATAGCTTCTCAGTCACATGTTCCTGACAGTTGAAAATGCATTCTGTTCGGAATAGCATTTGGAAGGATTTGACACAGCAGTTTCTGCCAAGTAGTGTTAACATTAAAAAAGAGAGGTTAAATCTGTTCCAATTTTCATAAGTTACACATCAGAAGGAAACGCTACTGAAGCTGTTTTCCCTTTAATACGTGCCAAATGCATTTAAATGACACTAAAACTCTTGTTTCTGACCATGTATCTCCACCTGCAAAACCACCCTGGTTTCTGTAGAAGTACCATTTCTCTACAACAAACAGGGAAGAAAGTGTCTTTACTGTATGGAACCAGGATGACTGTTGTCTGGGTTATCCACTCAGCATGTTAAATGAATTCTATTCTAGATTGTAGGGAGAGATTCCTGGAAAAGGAATACCGTGAGTGGCTACAGTAACATCAATTTCTCAGCAGCTATTTCAGATGTAAATGGATGACAGCTTGAAAAATGGAAAAAGATTTCTTCTTACAAGAGAAAACAAATGTATTTGCAGTAGCTACGAATCATGTTTAAAAAATAATTCTGCATTACTGTGGTTAGAGAAGTAAAACCTGAACAATCACAGAAGTTCTCTCCAAAGCGCCTGAGCTAATTCCACTTTTAAGTATACACATCAAGAGACACTCACCTTCTAAACATTCCTTCTTATTGTCTAGCTTCTCATGAGCCTTTGCGCGTCTGAAGAGAGCTTTTACGTATTTAGGATTAAGCTCAACAGCCTTTGTGCAGTCTTGTGCCACTTCTGTCCATTTTTGCTGCGGGCAGAAGAACAGCACAATGAGAGAGGCCCTGCTCAGCTGCACTATATCAGCCTTCCACGACCAACTCCAGGGTCATGCCCACCTAACAGTAGCTGCCGTCCCAGGGCCCTGGTTCTACCTGCTTGCTTCTATTTCTGCAAGTTTCTCAGTAAGAAACTGCCAGGCACCACTGGAAGCCACCTGCAGAAAAAGAATTCCTACAGAAAAATGAAACCAGACTGTGGGACAAAACGTGTGGGAGAAGGTAATGAGTCGATGCAAAGATGCTTGCAGGGCGTAACACCGGGACTGAAAGACTGGCACAAAACAAACAGAAGAAAAATGATGAAAAAAACGAAAACCAACAAACAAGTTTAAAAAAGTGCCAAAACAATTCATTAATTCGTTATTTTGATCTACTATGCTGTTACAAAGGGATGAGAAATGAGTAAGTAGAGGTAGAGCTGATCAAGGGTTTTAAGAACTAAAAATCCAGTTACATGCAAAACTGATGATCAAACCAGGCTTTTCCAGTAACTGGAAAAAAGTGACCACATACATTTTGGATTCATTATGGCATGAAAGTGTTATAAGTAGTATTTGATTACACAAGAACTGTCTTCTGTCTCCTCTAACTTTCCCGACTAGACTTCTCTGATCACAGTCTCTCACTTGACACTTCACACTGTACAAAGCCAGATTTTCCACTCCATTATGCAGCTCACCAACTTGACCTCATAAGCAAATCTACTGATACCATCACGAACAACACTAGTTGAGTCCTAAAACTAATACCGACTATACTCAGCTATCAAGTAAATGTTACTTCCATATGTGCAAATTTCAGGCTTTAGGAGGATTTCTGTGATCTTTTTTTGTTTAATTTTTGAAGTAGCATCCTTCCAAAATATTTGGCCCTTCACCTAACAGTTGAAGAAACTCTCTAGCAGAGAGAAGCCAAATCAACGTGTAGACAAGAAAATTGTTCCAGAGGACATGAAATTAAAACCTTGTCTTACAAGGGACACAAAAATTTCATAAGATAGACTGAGAATAGTTAACAAAAAGTGGTTTTGTTTCTATGTGGAAAAGTATGACAAGCTAGTGAGAAATAGCTGCAAGCAATGGCATCTTGTGAAGGCAGCAGATATCACCACCTGGGATCTTTCAGTGGACAAACTGACAAAATACACAATTTATAACTCACCTTTTTAGAAACAAACCATAATTATCTTTAATTTCTTACCAGTTGTTCATAGGCAGCAGCTCTATTTTGATAGAAAGTAGAAAGATCAAGGTTTTTCTCAGGCGGGCAGAGACTGATTGCTTCAGTATAACACTGAATAGCTTGCTCATATTTTCCTGCTTTAAAGTATTTGTTTCCTTTGTTCTTGGCTGCTTGGGCTCTATCCAGAGGGCTCTGAAAAAGAAAATGATAGGTCAGTTCAAATAAGAAATGCATCACCACACACAAACTATGCGCTTAAGGGCTGATCTGTCAAGATATAAAAAGGATCCGAGTGGTACTAGACTTCTGAAAATCTCACGCCTTCTTTTTCCTGGAAAAACACAACAGATTTTCTTTGCCAAGTATACCGGGTAGGAGACAAGCTTTTCAAAAGATTTGCTACAATGGTATTAAACCACGCAGTGATTTCCCCTTAGAGAGCTATACAGGTTTTAATCCTACATGACTGGTGATCAGAAGAACCAAGGAAAGATTTTTCCAAAGACTAAATATGGGAAGACAACAAAGCCCTCAAAGCAATCCCAACAGGAAAAGTTTCCTACTGAAATAAATATAGCCTATAAGAGCAGCCCCACACAGCCTGCTTCCACCAGCTGCTCATACAAAGTGCTGGACTATCACGGTCTGTCATTCTGAGCAGAGGATGGAAAACTTTGCTAACTGGCCTGTGACCCCGCTAAATGAATCTTCACATTCTGCACCTCCTGTTGGTCACCTGCATTTGCCACCTGTAACCCCCAGATCTACAGATCAGCTACCAAATCTTGTGGTTTGTAAGATATCAGATGTAAAAATCCTCTCTTTATCAAAGGCGTATGACCCACATTGAAAAAACACATTGCTCAAAGAAAGCCTAACATTCTCCTTCTGGATTTCTGCTCCTCTTTCACAGCCCAGCTTCAAGGATCAACATTTTGGGGCAGTTCAGGCTCACCTGCCCGACCAAAATGAACAGAGGTATGAGCACATATGCCATCCTACCAACCTCTCTGAGGAGGACAGGAGTACAAAGTGGGGGCAGTAATACAATAAAGAATAGCTGCAGGGTTCACTACATCTCACCTGTTGAATCACAGGCATGGGAAAGATCATCTAGGATTTCCTGGCAATTCTCAGTGCTGCTCTTTGGCCATACTTCTGCCTCCTCTCCCCCCTCACCACTGCCAGCATCAAACGACACCCAGATTGCTACAAGATAAACTTGAAAACATCTCTGCATTTTGTCAGCCTGTTTCACTTAATGTCTCCTCATTTCATCAGAGTCTGAGCATTTTTAACATCTAAATGCTATTAAAACTGAACACCTGAAAGGAACCCATGAGTTGCTTTACAACCCCTCTTTTAAGGTCTGGTTTCCAGTCACAGCATGAGAGAATCACAGAACGGTTTGTGTTGGAAGGGACCTTAAAGACCATCCAGTTCCAACCCC